GGACGGAGCGTACGCGGAAGGACACACGCGTAAACACAGGCGCACGCACACACACACACACACACACACGTCTGTCGTGTTCGTGAGACGTTTTACGGCGCGTTTAGACTTGACGTTTATTTTATGACCTCCTCTTTACCCCCTCCATTCCTTTCTCTTTCTCCCTCTCTCTTTCGCGCTTATCCTGCACAGCACTGTCTGGATACGTGAAGGACCGATGCGCATCGTAAGTAAGAACCGTTTTAATAGGCAAAACAGCGTGAAATAAATGTCCGTGCGTTGACGTGTCCTTTAACGACGACGACGACGACGACGACGATAAACGTAGTCTTGTATCGACTACGTCTAATTTGATGAAGTAGTGTGAATATTATTACCGCCCGAAGGCTGTGTCTCTCGTTGAGCGAGTACATTATATTAATTAATAATAATAAGTACGTCTCGCTCGACTGAGACTCTTTCGCCGTGCGCGCACGTGGCACAATACGTGACACAATACGCCGGCGGTCGCCGACACATTGGTGAAGTACAGTCACGTTTTCCACGTAACGTCAATTATCGCGTATCGCGGCGGCCGAGGGCGCTTTGAATGAAGCCATAGTGCGTGAAAGTTGCGTTAAAAAGGGAAGATTAAAAAGTACTGTACACATAAATATGAAACGCTATGCGGCACACAATCGAGCCTCCTGTACGTGGATTCCGCTCTGTGTAGGTCAATTTCGCGGAGTACAAAAGCCGTTCGCGCGGCTACCACGGAGGATCCTCGAAAAACCCGCTCTCGGGGCCGAGGCCGAGCAACGGAAAAAAGGAGAAAAAGAGGGAGGAGAGAGACAGAGAGAGGAAAAGAGAGAGAGAGAGAGAGAGAGAGAGGAAAGAAGAGAGAAAAAAATATCGCGTCTCATGTAACGAATACATAATCTCACCTAACGGGACTCGTTATACCATCGAATCGTCGCGAGTCCTCGAATCCGTTACCAGACCGATCACCCGTTGCGTTCCCCGCTCATTAAAAGTTTCTTTACCGCGGCGCGACTCTGACGCGGTTATATTTGCATAGGTTTCGGCTCTCTCCTTCTCTCTGTCTGTCTCTTTCTCTCTCTCTCTCTCTCTCTCTCTCTCTCACACACACACACACACACACACACACACACAGCGGTCGGCACGGAGATTTAACAGGGCGTGGACAAGCGAGGGCATCTGTATGCACACATATCGACCAGCCGTAAGCTCGTCAGAAAAGTTCCCACTTTCGGGCTTCAAGGAGAACACCTGACAACTCGCCCTCCCTAACGAACTTCTTGCGGTAATTAATTACCCGTGTAATCTGCGTCAATCTTTTCATTGCCGACCGTTCGTGTACTCCTGCGCCTTTAATCGTTATCAGCGGAGCATCAGTGTGAGATCGGGCTTTGCGCCGGCGGCTATCGGGCAGAGTCGCGCGCAACAGAATATGTCGCGGTCATTAAAAGATCCTGTAGTATCCTGAAAGTATGCGTTTCGTGTGTCATAAAAATTCTTCGGCTGTTCCGCATTCGTAAATGCGGCTACGACATGCGGACAGCGATACAACTTGATTCACGATAACGAGGATTTTTGTCAATGATTACGGCATTATACGGCGCAATTCTGAAACAACGCACGCGACAGTTACGTGATCATTTGCGACGGGACAAACGTAAGTTTCTAAAAGAGAAGAAAACGGGAGGTCGTTATTAAGGCATAATTCGCGAAGGTTAAGCTCGCCAAGTCGTCGACCGAGGGCAGGAGGCCGGGATGATCTTATTGTCGAATTAACGCTCGTTAGGCATCAGCACCGGTGTGGAGAGCGGCGAATTCACAAACGCGATTCTTTCCAGGCGATAATGGTCGCCTCGGACGACGCGTTATAATGTCGCATTTCCGTGTATCGCGCACACCGCGTGAGCACACTCTCAACTACCGATTCTGTCGCGGCGGCCTGATCGACAGACTTATTACACGCGAACGCGCGTAACTAGTTTCCCACGATTGGATGCGAGCGTGATCGAAAAGCCGCTTCTATATTTCATCCGGGATATTAATGATTTCATACGCCGCTCGGCGCGTTGTGACGCGACACGCGGCTACGCGTCTATTTTGTCTCTCCTCGGCGATAAAATAACATCTAACGAGGGAACCTCGATAGTTTCCTCGATAGTGACGTCATCTTTTCGTCTCTTTCGCTCTCCCTCTCCCTCTGGACAACTCCCTGTCGAAAGGGAATAGTTACATGAGATCGCGCAATTGCGCTGGTGTTAATGATGAAGGCATCATTGCGAGACCGGACATGTTGTCGCTCTTGAATAGACACGAAGAGCTCACTCTACTTAATTACTCAAGAAGAGTCTCGATATCTGATAAATTTGAAAATCGATATCCGCAGGAGAGTAGCTCGAGTAACGGCATCGAATCTCCGTAACGACTACATTTAATTATAGCCGGCGGTGTCGAGATCCAATCCCCTGACCTGCCTTTAATTAATGTGGACGCTCTAAGTGTTTGTGACAGTCGCACGTAACTAAAGCATCCGAGTTGTCTGTGCCGTTTTTCTTTTCTCCATTTATATTCCGCGTAATGAGATATTTTTTTCATACGGTACGGCGCATAAGTAATAAATAACGACAGTTTCATTAATTCTCAGCGAACATTTGTGTTTATTGCACGCTTCGATAAAATTACATTTTAACGCACTTCGGCTACTTTAACACGGACACATAAATAAAATTAATTAAGCAATCGTACGACACTCGAAGCTATGCGCGAAGGAAATGAGAACTTACACAAATATAACAGAACAATGAAAGCTTCAGAAAAATGATTGGATTCCGAATATATATATATATATATATATATATATATATTCGGAATCCAATCATTTATATATATATATATATATTCATATATTCATATTTATTTGTTTATTTATTTAACAATTTTAATTAGCTTCGTTGCAAACGATGTCTTTGTACACGTGCATGTGGTCTTACTGATTCCGCGTTATTATAAATTCTGAGCTCTGTTCGGACTGCAAGATGTTTAGTATCTGACGTGCGAGTTTCTTGGAAATTGTTCGAGCGGCACCTCTCATGGGAAATCTTTGGACGTTCTAACAGACAAGTAACACCTGGCGACAGGTGCTCAGAGAGTATATCGACGTTGCCTCGGTCTATACGTTCGGCAAAGATCCTGCCTCGGTAAAGCGCCTCGAGGACTTTTCAAGGCTCATTACTCGCGTCTTCCGTCCGGAAGTGCTGTTTAAACGTTTTTCTTCCCTCCGTTTAAAAATTACGGGAGGGAACATGGAGCTTCGTTTCAAATTCTGAACATCGTACTCTCAGCATCTCGTAACACATGCATCTACAACGCAAACGTAAACACGATATATTGCATTCAGGAATGTGACTTTTAAAATACAAAAATGCACGTCAATGACGTGAGAAAATCGCTCTGCCCACGTTGAAACAGGCTCGATACGAAATGATACCGCGGATACTAAATGACAATGGAGGCACCGTGCCCGTTCTTAAGGGCATTAATCTAATATTACACCGTAATTACGAACATCCAATCTCTCCTTAGAGTATAATAATTACCTCCGCAATGTTTTTTCCCCGATACTTAAGTTTTATAGATTGCCGGGACACGCAATTTCTCAGAGTTTATTATATCCTTATCTGACGCCTTGATTAATATCCAGCAGGATGGAGAGAGTATTAAGAGAATATTATACGTAATTTATATGTCAGTCATGTTTTTCCACACGAGCGTGAGCCGTGCCGCGTCGTCTCGCAACATTGTGTGCTGTTTGCTGACAATAATTTGAGGTTTCGATAACAGGAAAAATCAAGAATCGATCGCTAGTCACTGTAATTTCAATACATTAGAATGTATTAAGGCGCGCGAGCGCCGCGCGGTGGGCTCATCCAATTTTCTTATGCTTACAAAATACGCTCGCGACGCGACTCTCTACGTTATCGGTAAGCGCGAAATAACTTTCCCGTAATTGCAAAAGCGTTAAGCGCGTCGGAAGTTGCTGCGTCGGTACGATAATTCGTAATTTAATCAAAAGACGCGCGATTGCGCACCAACTAAGCGCCAACTGCGTAGCGAATGAAACCCTACGAGCGTAACGTGTAATTAAGCTACTTCTCCGTTTTAATTGCAGCCCCGATGTTTATTTCTTGTATTAGTTTTAAGTGATATTTTACGTGCCGTAAGTGAGTTATGTTTATGCAACAGCTAGAAGACGGGATTGAATGATAACGAATGGCCCGGATAATGAGGTCTGTAGTTACGCAGCCGCATTTCTCCGCGCAACGTGCGCGTTAATTGTTTTTGTTCTCGCCGTTCTCGCCGACGTTGCGTACTCGACGAACCGATCGCACGACGCGTTTGTTAAATTTTACACCCAGAAACTTGGTCGCTCGCTCTTCCCGGCTTTCGTTTCGACTAAAACCGCGGATCTTATAGTTTTATTAGTCGCACGCACGCACGCACGCGTAAAGAAACCCGTTGGGACTCTTCGTCGATTTTTAACTTCCGCCACAATTTCCAGTCATTTTTCTCATCCTTCATCGTGCCTCGCCCGTGACCTTCTTACGGGCGAGCCTCATCCTGCTCGACAAAACGTTTCCGTTCCTTTCAAGTGATGTCCATCGCTCACCGGAACTCGACTCTTAGTATTGTATTTTCTCTCGAAAGTTACTTCTTTTTTTTTTAGGAATAAAAGGAAGGTATGGAAAACATGAATGAAACTACAGGTACATTTGATTGTAACATTTATCTGATTTCATTCATTTCATTTTGTGAAAAGTCACTTTTATGAGATACCTCGTTGCGAAATGCACCGCTAGATTGTTAATTTCCTTGCTCTATATTTCATCTTCGATTTTGCTCTCAAAGATAATTTTCTCTCTCTCTCTCTCTCTCTCTCTCTCTCTCTCTCTCTCCCCCTCTCCCTCTCTCTCTCTCTCTCTCCCTCTCTCTCTAGCTGGTTTTATTAGTTTCCTCCATTCCAATTGATCTCCTTTCGACGTTTTTTGTTTTATTTTGCTCGTTACGGTCTCTAACGGCTGCCTCTCGATCGACATTTCTTTCACGTGTTAAATGGAACTCTCTCTTACTTGGCATTTTCGCTCAATTTCTTGTCTCAGTCGTCGGGATGTTTGTCGTAACCATTCCGTCTCCACAACGGCCTAAATATTTTTAGTCTCTTCGCTTCTTCCATTCCTTCGATAATTCTGACGTATCCCTACTGACCTATTCTTCATCTTACAGGGTATAAGTTTCCCATCCAGGAACTCTCTCTCTCTCATCGTCCCGTTAAATATTTCACAATTTCATCTCGCCGCGTTGCCAATAATATCCGCAACATTGCGAACCTAACGTTCCCCTTCGTCATCAGTTTTCTTTTGCTTCCCCATCGCCGGCTTCGTCGTCGACATATCCAGTGTCCCGATTCCCCTTGCTCGTCTCGTCGAGGATTCGCCGCTCCTCGGCCGTGAGAGCCGCACGATTCACGAAGTTCGCGATATCGGCCGCATGCACCGTCAATAAGCGCCTCCTCTGCTCCTTCGCGCACTCCGCCTCGAGTCGCGCCAGCCTCTGTTCCTCTTTAATGGTCTCCTCCATCCTAGCAATCTCCTCCTCGCGAATCCTGCGGCGGTGCGCAATCAAATTCTCCAGGTCCTCCCGGTGCTGCACTTTCATCCTCCTCTTCGCCTCCGCCGTGCATCTCGCCAGTCTCTCGTCCTCCATAATCTTCCTCATGACATCCTCGGCCCAGGCTCTATCCTCCTCCACGAGACGCCGCTTGCATTGCTCCGTGAGGATGATCTGCTCCTCCAAACCGGCCACCAGTTCCTGGCGCATCCTCCTCCTGCGCGCCGCCTGCTCTCGCTCCCTGATCACGAGCTCGCATCTGATCTCCTCCGCCACCAGATCAAACAGCCGTTCCTCCCTCTCTTGTTTGCGCGCCTCCGCATCCAGTATCATCCGCGTGGCTTCCAACAGGACACTCTCGCGCCTCTCTATCTGCTCCTGTCGCAGCCTGTTCACCTCCTCTGACCTCTCGTCCATCTGCCTCAGGTACTCCAGATCCTGTCGTCGTTTCCTCTCCTCGGCCTCGCGCTCCACCTGCCGACGCGCCTCCTTCACCTCCTCGAGGATCAGTCTCTCCCGCCTCGTCTTTACCACGAGCTCGCGTTTCTTCTCCGAGGCATTCGAGCACTCGCGCTCTTCCTGCGCGCGATCCATCTCCTCCAGGGTCTTTCTGTACTCGCGAGCCTCCTCCGCGAGAACTCTCCTCTCCCGCTCCTTCCGTGTCAATTGCTCGTCCAACTGCCGCCTGTACTCCTCGCCTCTGCGCAGGATCTCCGCGCGGCGCCGGAGATCCTCCGCCGACGCCTCGCGCTGCCGCAGCCGCGCTAATTCAGCGCACTCGCGCTCTTGCACCAGCTCCGCCTGTCTGCGCCTCTGCTTCTCCTCCAGCTGAGCCTGCAGCTCCTTCGCCGTGTAGGCGCGCTGCAACTCGGCCGCCAGGTCCGCGACTTCGTCGTGCGAGCGGCGATTGCGGCAGCTCCGGCGAAATTTCGCGATGTAGTTTACGCTCATCCCGCGAGTCTCCTCCTCGCTCGAGGGTCCTTCCGCCATGACCGTGAAATTCGGACGGTGCTTTGATGAGAGATCCCGCGATATTCAGGGGAGAGAAGAAGAGGGAGGAGTCTCTGCCGAGAGGTCCGCGCCTTTTCCGAGCGATAAATGCAGATCGTGCGTGCAGCTGAGTGTAGGAATGCGAGCCGTCGATCGGGCGAGTTTTAACGTTGCGAGCCGACCGTAATCTTCTGGTTTTGCCTGCAAGGGTTATGCTAGTTCATTATGGTCTTGCGGGGAAGCGAACGTGCACGCGTGCGGACAGTCGACAAGCGTTCCCGTGCGATTTTCTAAGTTCTCGCCGCGATCTACGCGGGCTCCACATCCGAGCCTCCCCTGAGCGTCTCCCTCGCGATCGTTACCGTACGCCGTCGTCATCGCGCAGATTGATTCTCTAATTATGACAGTCGCGTATACAGGAATCAATTCCGCGACGCAACTCGCCGCCGGCGAGGACGTCGCGCATCAGGCGCATCGCGCATTGTTTTCGTCGATTTATGCTCGTTGAACCGCCGACCGCGTCGGGAAACCGCGTTGTTTTTCGTTCACTCTCGCTCTCGCTCTCGCTCTCGCTCGTCTCTCCATTCGCCATTTCGCGGCGCTGGAGCCGCGCTCCCTGCGACGCGTTAATTAATTAACATGTCGACTGATTCGACGTCGCGCGATTCATCGGCGAGCAATGAGAAAGAGCGGTAGCTGCAGCTCGGCAGCAAAAACTTCCTCACGACGCGCGCGCGCGCGCGCGTTACAGCGACTCGCATTTGCATCTCGCATGACGCGAGACTAATGCTCATGCACCGAGCAGCATTAACGTCAGATTAACGGTAAGCAGCCTCTCGCTAGTAGTAGCTTGCTTCTTTCTCGTCTACCCCCATCCCTTCTCCGCGCCTTAGTCTTTCCCCCCTCCTACACCGTCACGTCGCGGATGCTCTTTTTCTCGCGCGAGACTTGAATGAGCTTCGGGAACGTTCGCACGAGCGAATCGGGTTAATCCAAATTTAGCGGTAAAACGAGAGAAGTGTGCTGCGACACCGTTAGATCTCTCCCTCTCCCCGGCCCTTCCTCCTCCGACTCTCCTCGGCTGCTCACCCCCTGCTGCGCGCCACCGCCACCGGCACGGTAATAGCTCCATTGTTGATAGCAACGAAAACGAAAACCATCATCAATCCACGCCGGCCGATAATAGAAGGCGAAGAAACGCGCGAATCCATTCGCGCGGTGGCGCCGCTCGCTCGTTGATCGCGCGCTAATTAACGACCGCGCTCTTCAGCGGGCGTGATGACTGTATCGCGATACGATCCACGTGCGTTGCCGCGTTATACGAAAATAACAGATCGCCGCTGCGGCGCGATTCTTTGACTCGTTATTGGAGTTAACGACACTTTCGTTATAGTCGCGCAGCTTTTGTATACCGTAGAAAAGCTGCGCAACGATAACGAAACTCGTCGTTAACTCCAACAGCGAGTCAAAGAATCGCACCACTGCAGCGGAGAAAAATTACGCGCCGCGTAATGTACGATCGGGGAGGGAGGAGGGGACGGGCGGAGTGTCTTCTCTTTTTGCCTCCTGACTTTTTCCTCTCGCGCGGCAACACGGAGAACGCGCGGGCAGGAGGAGGCAATCCGGAACGTGACGAAAGACACCACACACAAATCATCGTTCGAGTTTTCTAGGGGGATACGGAGATTCTTGAATCAGCACTCTGTCTCTCTGACTTTGACATATGCACACCACAATTACGAGCTGCTTGTCGTCCGAAGGCAGCTGCCGGTTTACGAGTGCGCAGGACTGTAATTTGCCAGGAGTACACTAGCAACACATGTCGCGCGTGCGTTATCGGAAACACCGGCTGCGGGGATCTCCGGTTCTCGTCGTGACAATGTCGTCAATGAAGAAGACTTTCGACTTTTAGCAGGATGCGTCCGCAACGAGGATATCACTTTGCGCCGTGATCCTCAAAAGAGCTACACGCGTTCCCGAGGCGCTTATCTAACGCGGCAAATCGCCTTACAAACGCCACGCCTCGTAGACAAGGTGAACACGTGATACAATCCGAGGTATCATCGCGTCCGCTGAAAGGAAACGGCGCGTCGAGCTCGCCGAGCTGTGAAGGAGCGGTAACGCGCTGCCGAGGAGGATTCGGCGCTGCCCGCCACTTGATCCGCCATCCTAGCAGCGCGGCGTAGTTCCTGCTCAGCGAACCGTTTCTTTTGTTTCTTTCGCCCCATACGCGGGCAACGATATAATTATCGCCGACCGTTAAAATGCATGTAGATACTGTTAATGGCGTAATACCGCGACGCGGTAAACAGCTCTGGTTGTTATTACGTTGCGCACGTAAGGATCTCACGGAACACAGCACGGCTCGCGAGACCATAAGCGTCTCGGGCCCGTAAATTCAGTAATAGCGGCTTTAGAAGCGCTTAAGAGATCAATCGACCGTGCTTAGTCCGCTGCGCGGGGAAGAACGTTCGCGGCGGACGTTTCGAGGATTTCCAAGTGGGAGCCGGTTATACGAATAAATTCTCTTCAGTCGGGAGGAAAGGGTAGGGAAGCTCCGGCATTGATTAGCGAGTCCCGGAATTACGAGCGCGAGCAACGGTCCCGTGACTTTCACTCGAAATAATAAACCGTCATTCTTCGCCCGACGAGCAGCCCGACGACTTTTTCGGTGAATTCTAGCTACATTTTCCGGGGAGAAATATTCCGAATAAAAATTAAGACACAAATCACAACATCGATCGGAATAAATCATGCACGCTGTCCCTAATCAATCGCTAAAGTCCCTAACTGCACCGGCATCGTACCGCGGGGTACGATGAACAATGCCCGCGAACAAAACCACGTCGCCATGCGTTTTCAATTAGTAAAGCCGGGTGTAAACACAGCTAACCCTGAAGGGATCGGAGAACGCGTGCGCCGTCGAAGAGACTAGCGGTCGGTGGCGGAAATTGACGTACCCTCCGTGCGCAGGAGCCGCGTGTACGACCTCCGGCTCTCGTAGGAATTCGCTGGTCACGTGCACTGTATGAGTATGCGTCGTCGCACCGTGTGTGTATGTAACAGCCTGTATATACGTGCAACAATTACACCGAAACAAAGGAGCGTCGGCGGTTCGCGCGCCGGCCCGCCGAAGGACCGCGTAGGACCCAACCGATGGATGACGACGTGCGGTCGCGCCGACCCGAAACGAATCTTTCTCGGCTCCTTTGTGGAATTCTTTTGAAACGGCGCGCGGCGTGCCGTCACTTCGAAGCGCGAGAGCGCGCGCGAAAGAGAGAATCGGGACGGAGCACGCCGTCTAATGCGAACGCCACGGCGGATTGAGACCGACTAACCGGCTTTCCGCGTCGGGGCACACACCAAGCTCTCTCTGCTCTTTGCCGCCGGCCCCTTTAAAGCCATCCCTCTGACGGGCCCCTCGGGAACCGGCCAGGTGAGTTTGTACGGCCCTGAGAGTGGGTGTCGGGAGCGCGTGAGGAGCGCGCGAGGAGCACGTGAGGTTCGCGTCGCCGAAGAGGACAAGTCCCTACTTTGTCTCTTTGTCCCTACTTTGTCCAAATACGAAATGGAAATCACAAGGCGGGAAAAATCTCTCGTCGAATCCCGACAAATTAACGAGAAGTGAGCGAACACCGTTCGCGCGTGCGAACAAAAGTGCGTTTTGCGGAAATTCGATATTAAATTCCGGGTCTCTCGCCGCACGAACGGATGCATTAAACGTGCGGAATGTTTCAGGATCCGTGCCGATGCTTGGTCAAATTGCAGCAGAATGAAAGAAGAGAGAGAGAGAGAGAGAGAGAGAGAGAGAGAGAGAGAGAGAGAAAAGGTCCATGAATTTATGGATAAAGCATGAGACCTCTGTGAATCAAACAAACGCATTAACTTCTCCCCGCGGGAATAAAAATCCGAAAGCTTCAATTTTTTATCTCGTCTGGTTCTCAGTCAAATGTCACACGTCGGACCGCACGTACAGATGGAAGGATCGATTAGGTCCGGAAGATTAATAATGTCACAGTGCGAACGGTGTCGCGCGATATCGAGAGTCGCGTAACAGTCTCGTAATAGGAAGTGTCGCGTTTAAGGAGAGACGTTCGATTGTGGGAGAAGCGCGATAAGTATCACGCGGGAATGCACATTTCTTTATCTTTACTTACTCCGCTCGCGCGAACGGTGCAGAAAAAGAATACGATCACCGGCGCGTAAACGCGGGAGATGGTCTCATTTTTGCAGATTTCGTTCGATGGCGTTGGCTTTCACGCTCGCGTGGAAACCTGTTCTCGAATCGGGCTACCCGTCAGATAGAGTCTGACTCGTAAACGTCCGAACGATATCTCGCGGAAATTCTGACGATACAAAATGCGCGCAAGTTGAGCTCGAATTAGAAATGTCTGCGACTCGAAATGGGTGCGCGACTTAAGGGCATTATTAAAAGGGAGAGCATAGCGGCGGCTGTGGCGGCGGCGGCGGCGGCGGCGGCGGCGGCGGCGGCGGCGGCGGCGGCGGTGGTGCGATTACTCTCGAGAAACCGGTCGCTTTAATAGAGTCGTAAAGCGACTTTATATGAGGATAGTGACACTAATCACCGTAATATGCAAGCGTTCTTATTGTCCGGTTACGCCTCCTCGAGTCGCTGTCCTTACGATCACGGAGAGCCGCGAGAGTTTACGAATTTTACTGGTGGTAAAGCTTATTAAAAAGAGAAAAAGAAAAAGCAAGGGAAGAAGAAGAGAAACGAACGGTCGGAGCATCACGTAAATCCCGCAGTAAAGATTTACCGACGCTCCTTCTTTCGCGAGAAGTTACCGCGCGACATCGACAAGTGACAAAGTATCGGAAGATCAGAAGCGTACAAGAGATCAGTGTATCAGTGAATAATTGGAACAATCGATGAAAGAGGTCTGAGAAATATTTGAACGCGAGTCTGCACGAGAGACTTTCGGCAATAATCGAGGGGACACATAAGGGACGCTTCGTTAAAACATTTCCAAGAGGCCTTAAGAGTTCCTCCGCTGACTCTTCACGCGTGCCCCATCGGGTGTCCGCTAAAATGTCAAATATGACTAAAGTGAGTCGTTACGCCAGCCAGCCGAGGGAAGTCATGATTAAAGTATGGGCGATACGTAAATGCCCTCGAGGGGGATCATTTGCGCCCTCCTCCTGTTCCGCGCGAGAGAGCAAGAAAGAGAGCGAATGAGAGGTGAAGGGAAACGAGGAGGAGGAGGAGAAGGAGGAGAGGAGAGGAGGACGTGGAAAACGAGGAAGCGCGACGGGGATAAGCCGGACGATGACGATGAGAAATATCTAAATTAACGTGAAGGAGGAGCGTGGCACATGTAAGATTAAGGCTGGCTCGTCCGACATGACCGCCGTGGCTTGCATGATGTATCGTCGTCCTGCGCGAAATAAACGATCGGGCAGGATGCGCGGGAAGTGCGCTCGCAGCGGAGATGTTTTCGCGAATGCCGACGGGCGTACAAATAAGGACTTACGATGATACTTCTCGCTTTTCCGTCGTTTCGCGAGAAATCCTGGCGTCTTCGATTCGGAAGATCGGTTGTCTCAAGAGCCCGGCATTACGGGACAGATATAAAAGAAAACGCTGCCGTGCTTTGTATGTACAAGACGGCTGATCGCGTTCCGAGAAATAAAGCCGAAAATTACGAGTGCCATTACCTCTCTCACAAGCTTTTCGTAATTCGTAGATCGCGCGAAGAGAGCCAGCCCTCTCGTTTTCCCTTCTGTCGCCCCACCCCAACGTCTCCGTGGCTGCCTGTCGAAAAGCTAGCAATTTTCCCCGTTTATTCGGCGCCATTCTCAATGGCTTGTCAAAACGTTGGGCGTAACAAAAACGGACGGAGCCGGCACGTATACGCGGCTTCAGGCCAATAACCGAGAGAACCTTTTAACCTGACCTGAAAGTGTCTCCTCCGCTTCTTTCGTGTATACATCGCGCGCTTTCCCGATTCTACGCGATTCACTCCGGTCAGACTAAAGCTGGCAGCACTCAGAAAATGTTGTTACTATCTCGACAAGATCGCGCGCGCGCGCGCACTCGCATTTCCCTTAACCACGGGAATAAGCCGGGAGAGAGGGAGAGGAGAAAGAGGAGAGAGAGCCCGGTTTGAGTGGATCGACGAATGCGCATGTATGCAAATAGGCGAGTCACTTTTATTAAAAGGGTTCTTCCCGAAGAAAACGAAATCGGAAGAGTGATAAAACTCCTCCTTATCCCCTCGCTGCACTCAATTCACCTCGTGTCTCTTCGGCGCGTCTCGTCGCGATGCAGAAGAAATTCTTCCTCGTTTTTTCTCGTCATTTCATTTATTTTACATCTATGATAAAATGCGCTAAAAGAAAAAGATCTCGAAATTATAAAGCTCGTTAAATGTCTCTAGGTGTTATTTGTTGCAATCTTCTCTCCATCGCGAACGATGAGTTGATCTATTTTCGAAAAACAGAGCAGAAAAGAGAGCCGACCTCCCCTGTTGCCGTAAAAGACGTCGAGAAATTACGTCGAGATAAGTTCGCGGAATAATTAACGGCAATAAAAAAAAAGGAAGAAGAAGAAAATGTTGCCGTGCGCGTTATAAAACGTTACATTACAGAGCCGGTGCGATGTAACCGCCTTAATTAGAACGATGTCTATGCGAATAATTATTTTATTGCGACGGGTGTAATTGTCCGTTCATTTCCTACTTCGTGCCGGCCGAAACACACGCTTTGAGCTTTAATAGCGGTCAGCGGGTATCCTTTAGCCATGGACAGGTGTGTTGAGAATTGCAAATTTAATGAATTCTATCGACCGCGATAAAGTGATTAAAGTAGACTACTCGACTGCGCGGGCAAGCCGACTGAGCCGACGCGTATCCTTCATCGTCCTTATCGAACTTTATTCCGTCCCTCAGCAAAAATTCAGTAATGGTCAACTGAATGTTACCGCGGATTATCGTATTATTAACCGTAATAAATACGTAGCAAATCTAATCGCCACGGTGCGAGAATGTAAATAGCCCGGTGCGATATCAAATGCCGAGCATAATTTTCACACTTTGATGAAAATTCATACGTATAATACAGCATAATTTGCAATGATCAGGTCTCTTTATACAGTGTAAGCGCGGTAACCGGTTCAGTGAGTCTCCGCGTATGTGTATGCGCGTCGTTATAGGAAAAATGATAATTCCATTGAGAATACTTCATTATAAGAGTACGAGATTATTTTTCAGCTTTTATTAATAAGATGAAAACTAACAAAGGTATGCGTTCATTAATAACCGAACGATAGTAAAAACAGAGCAAAAAATAATATTTATCTCGTCTTTACATAGAAATCGAGATAATCGTGAGGATTAATTCCAGCGGATCACCGAGTTGAACGAATCATCAAGTCTCATAAACGAAATCAAACGCGAATCTTCTCTTTAAAGGCTTCGACAAGACCCTGTTTCAGGGAAGTGAAGGTATCGACTTTTTGCAGGAAGTGCCCTTCAAGAAGTAGTCCCTTTGGCGCAGAGGATAGCGCGTTGGACTTCTAATCCAAAGGTCGCGGGTTCGATCCCCGCAAGGGATGACGATGTTTTTGTTATTGAAAATACAATTATAATTTGACATCAGCCGCTATACTTTCAGTGTATGGCCAGTTGTCCCTCACTTTTGCGTCACTCGGCAAAAATAATAGAAGCGCGGGCGAAAATTTAATCAGAAAACTCGCGATAAGTCTAACTTTACCGCGCATATGGACGACGATACCAATATATATGTTTTGTTTCACGTCACAACTCTGTTTCTTTATACTTGCGTCACGCGTTACCCGTTGTACTCCAAGATCAAAAGATCCCGTATTTTTTCGCGCCAATTCCGTTGCGAATGTTTTCTCGATAATACGGAGTTTTTGCAATACTGTCTCTCAGCTATAGTAAACGTAAATCGTTATTCGCTTAGAAATAACGTCACAATGTACGCGACTAATAGCATTCACGATTTGCGTTTACCGTGTCTGAGTGACGGTATTGCAAAAACTCCCCAATCATGCGATAGGAAATAACGAGACTACAGAATGCAACGAATCTCGTGAATCGCATACCGAGATCTCTCCTCGAACATCGCGAGATACGATTTCATTAATCGTGCACCAGTCACGCGCAAGCCGGACAAAGCAGAAGCGTCGAGCATTACCAGGCCCCCAATTAATTAAGCCTAATGGAGTCATGTTAATTTTGCGCGCAATACATATCTCCCGACGTGCCGTGGAACGTCCGTGCACTTTTTTTCCACGGTGGCTCCGCACGCGAATTTCTTGTCCGGTTCTCGTATTTT